AACAGTGTCAAAAGCAGCACTGAGATCAAGAAGGATGAGTATAGAAAGAGAACCAGAATCAGCAGCTATTAGAAGATCGTTAGTGACTTTGACCAGGGCAGTTTCTGTGCTGTGAAGTTGATATATATAGATAACATAGATCTATATTAGATCTTATCTTACATATAACATATTCTTGTATTACAATGAATGGAATTAGTGCATATTACAACACTGCCCTGTCGTGGTCATGGAGAGGAAAAACACAAAAACAGACGCAATGATGTTAGTAAAGGACGTTTCAAGGCCGAGTGGGACGTTGAAAGGAGTCTTCATCTCAGCGTGAAATCTGAAGAGATTCAAGAGCAGTTGGTCATCCCGACAGCTGCCATCCCCGATCTCGCCACCAGAGCGCGCACTGAGACAGCGAGCGAGAAGAGCGATTACAGTGGGGGCAGACGCCTGACTTTAACTCGACAAGAGAGTCAGACTGTGCATTTTGTTTTAAGTCGCTTTCGATATCTGAAGTTTCTTTGAGTTGGCTTTGTGACGGGCTGGCTGTGATTGGTGTTGACAGGCTGACATTTCATGTCAGACACTCACCTTTTCATGTGTGTGTGTGTGTGTTGGTCTGTCTACAGCGCACCCTCCCTGAGAAACTGGACTGAATGACAGTTATGAAAATCTGACATTAAAAGGGCAACACACAACAGCCAGACCTTCAAAGTTTAAGAATATAAAAGCAATGGGAGGAGGTGAGCCAGTCCAGTTGGTTTCTGGTAGCCAATCGATGCAGTATCTCATCCAGCTCTTTCTTTAAAAGTCAACTTCAATAACATGGCAGGGCAGCTTGGTCCACACTCCCACCAGCCTTTGTGTAAAGAAGCGCCTCTGGTTGTCAGTTTTGTGTGTGTGTGCGCGCGAGCTGCAGGCTGCCGGAGAGCTGCAGACTCACTCACCCCCCCTTCTCATTCCTCAGGCAGCGACTTGTAATCCGCTGATACCAGGGTTTTAGCTGTGAGAGGATCAGTCCATTAAACAGAGAAAATTAATTAAAGATATGGCTGTTTAAGGAATGCTAATTACCTTGATTCCTCGAAACCCTGGAGAACAGTTGTGCCGAGTGGTTTTGTATGTGAGGTATACCCATAAAAGTGATTAACGCTAGCCTTCACCTCCTTCCAAAGAGGCTACAAATCTGCTTTCAGGGCACTTTCATTGTACAAAATATTAATATGCTTCGTTCACTGGGGGGTAACCGAGGCGACTGACCTGTCTGGTCAGCAGGGGCCACTTCTAGGCGTTTCTCTCCAGTTCTCCTGCATGGGACACAGACAGGCTCCCTGGACACTGGGGGGCTGGAGATGGGAGACTTCACAGACAGCAGGACACAAGACACTGACCGCTCCCAGCTCTCTGGCACAGGGGACAGACATTGACCACTTCCAGACTGACCGCTCCCAGCTCTCTTGCACAGGGGACAGACACTGACCAATCCTAGCTGTAAAACAGTGGACACTGACCCCACAGTTTAGTTTAATCTTGTGTTGATTCCCCAGTAGCGCAGTGCTGCGTCTGTCCTGTGTGTGACCGCAACTGCCCATCCTCCAGTCTCCTGCCAAGCTGTGGGCGTGTCTGATCCCCACAGGCCACACCCAGCAGGGACACCAAGTCACCTCACACCCCCACTTTGTCCTTCACCAGTCTGTCTCAGTCCGGCTGGACTGGACATGGCTGTCCCTGCGTGTCCTACACCGGTCTGTCCCTGCATGTCTGTCTCAGGCCCAGCTGAACCACACAGTGCTGTCTCCACTTGTCCTACACCACTCTGTCTCAGGCCCATCTGAACTGGACAGTGTGTGTCCTACACCGCTCTGTACCTACATGTCTGTCTCAGGCCCAGCTGGACCGGACAGTGCTGCCTCCACTTGTCCTACACTAGTGTGTCTCAGGCCCAGCTGGACCGGGCAGTGCTGTCTCCACTTGTCCTACACCAGTCTGTCTCAGGCCCAGCTGGACCGGGCAGTGCTGTCTCCACTTGTCCTACACCAGTCTGTCTCAGGCCCAGCTGGACCGGACAGTGCTGTCCCTGCGTGTCCTAAACTCGTCTGTCTCAGGCCCAGCTGGACCGGGCAGTGGTGTCTCAGGGAGCAGTCTAGCTCGGGGTGTCCAGCCATAAGCAGGCAGCAGGGGGCCGACAGCCCTGAAGGCAGAGAGCCGCGGTGGGGCAGACAGGACCCCCTGGCAGCCTGGGGCGCAACAGGCAACATGCCAGCATCCCACCTGGGCATCCCTGCTCTGCCACCTGTCCCTGCGGCGGCGCCAGGAGCTCTCCCTGCCGGAGCGTTCCAGACGCTCCCTGTGGGCCAGCAGAGAGGGGCACGAGGACCCAGCTGGGCTGCGGACATGTTTCTGGGGTCTCTCAGGGAGCCGGGGAGACCTGTCCCACTGCCCCAGACAGGCCAGTAACGAGCTCAGCTGCCTCAGTAAGACCCCCAGAGACACAGGCTCCCCCCAGTCCAGGGGTAGGTGTCCCTGCTTCATGTTAAGGGCAGTTGTGGGGAGTGGGGCAGCAGGGCAAGCTCCTCCCAGTGCAGGAGGTAAAGAGGCCCACTGGGAACCAGTGACACTAACACACGGGCGACAGCAGCTGCTTCCACAGTGCCTGCAAGCCACTCACAGCAAGACAGGGCCCAGACAGCAAAACCACTGCCTGGACTCCTGACGGTCTCCTGTGCCAATTTAGTTCAAAGTGAATTAATTGACTTAATTGGTTATTTTTTAAAAAAATCATAAGTTACATATTTGAAGTGTAAGATTTCATCAGAGATTCTCTTTTCTTCCTCAGCCCTGAATTGCAACCAGAGGGATTATTCTGTAATACCATACAGGGGCTTTTTAACCCCGGAGCTCTGCGTGGGAAAGGTCCAGATCGAGGCTCTCTGAGCCCCCCCTTCCCCCCTGATTGACAGCTGCTGCAGATAACCATCTTCTGCCTCTAATCTCGCCTCCAGACCCCAGCTGCCGTGCCGGCAGACCTCACGTGCGGGGAAGGGATTATCCCTGGGATCAGGGAGAGTGTGCCGCCTTCTCCCAGCATTCCAGAGCAGCGAGAGTGGGCATGGGCACAGCTGTGCCTGTGACACTACGGCCGAGCGTCTGGGCACGATGGACACGTCTGCGTTCCCGTGTCTCCGCAAGGCCCCTCCTCTTTCATGCCCAGGGAGCCCTCCCTGTCCGTCAGCTGCCCAGAGGCCATCCCGCAAGAGAGAGAGGGCCGGCAGGCCCACGCCCTGGGGCAGATACCAGTCCATCACAGGTGTGCACGCACACACACCATCGCTAAGGGACATCACACCCCCACACACACACCCCCCCCCACACCATCGCTCAAGGACATCAGTTCACTTAGCAGGTGTCTTTGGCAGGTGAGAAGAGACCACAGCCCATAATGAAAAACCTACAGGAGAGCAGAGACCATGCAGACACCACACAGAAGGTACCCCAGTCCAGAACAGTGCTAAACATTACACTTAATGTACCTCCCTTCTCCCAAACCCAAACCCACCCCACGTTCCTCACGCAGTGACAGACAAGCCCCTCTCCCCTGCGTGTGTGCTGTGCACAGGGCAGACATCAGCGCCTCTGAGCCACGCGCTGTGAGCGTTACCAAGCGCACCGATGTGTCACAGCGAAGCTCCCTGCCGCCCAACGTGCTGGACACAGAGAGAGGACAAGCAGGCTGACTGAGATTTTGTATTTCTTAGTACAAGTGAAAAACCGTAACAACACAACTAAAGTCACTTTCAAAATTACAATTATTGCCATCAATAGTAATACCAAACAATTATGTGAAAGCCTGCTCAGCAGTAAGCAGACATCTGTTCGTGGTACCACTCTCCCCCCCAACAGGAAAACAAAATGCTAGGTAAAGCTTAAAACCAGGCAGTACAGCATCCCATTGGCCCAGAGTCAGGAGGGAAGCCTACTGTGGTCCAATCAGAAACAGCTCAGGAGACTCGGGGACTGGAGACCTGCCCCCTTTCCTAGACATTCTATCTGTCATTCTATCTGGAAAAAAAAACAACAATCACAACTTCCACATCAAGTTACCTGAAGCAGCACTAGAGAAACTCAGTCCAATCAGATCAACACAAGGCTACCTGACAACCAGTGAGAATGTCTGTAATTCAGTCCAACCAAAGGTAAGGCAGGCTATGGTCCAACGTGATTGTCTGATTCTGCTCTTGGAATTTCACAGCCAGTCAGTGGCACTACAGCAGCTCTGGAGAAGCGACTGTCTAATCAGAGGACAGCATGTCAGTACACAACACACAGGGGAGATACCCTCATACAATCACAATGCTTGTAATAGCAAAATGCCCATTTAGAGCACTCTTAACATATGGAGAAGTCCAGCCTAATCACACCCTCCAAAGACACCAGCAGAGTGTCTGGTCCAGTCAGGCGCTTGTATAAAACTAGGGTGGAAATCTGTGGTCCAATCAGAGAGTTTCGAGCAGTAGTGGGTGTAGTGCCTCCACCAATCAGACAGCTTTGTTGCAGTGGGCGTGGCCTCTCCCGTCCAATCAAAGTGTCTGCACCAGCACGGGGAACAGCAGGGAGAGGTGCTCGGCACCCTTGATCGGCAGCTTGTGTGTGGTGTAGTAGTTGATGACCTCTGGGATGGTGTCAAAGGGCGGGCTGTTCTGACCCAGGATGTACTTCCCCTCCTTCGAAAGCGTGAACTTCATGTGCATGAAGCCCTGACAGCTCCTGAGGGAGAGGGAGAGAGAGAGTGACAGCGGATCTGTCCACCAGGGGCAGAGAGCATGAGGGAGAGAAGGAATGTCTTGCTCCTGTGGCACAGGAATGGGGGGAGGGGAAGTCGATGAGCAGGTCAGGAGGCAGGAGGAGGAGGAGGAATGAGTGACTCAGCTCTGCCCGTAAGTGTGAGGGATTCTCAGCTGCCCGGTGGAAGAGTGGGAGGGGGAGGGAACGAGGCAGCTAGTGAACAGCTGTGAGACTGAGAAAGCAGAAGACAGAGGGAGGTGGAGTGGAGCCACTGAACAATTGTCCTGCGCTCCTCACTGAACCCCCACCGACTTTCAGACACACACACTCGCACTCAATTCAGATTCAACCAGCTTTATTGGCATGAGTGGTGAATTACAGTGGTGCCAAAGCATATAATGCCAACACCACATCCAGAGAACTAACCCATCATAGGACACTGACATACAACACACAACACACAGACCACGCTCTTGACACGCTCTCAGGCCTTCAGGACCCTTATTTCCCACACTCACACTCACACTCACACTCACACTCACACTCACACTCACACTCACACTCACACTCACACTCACACTCACACTCACACTCACACTCACACTC